CTCTGTTCAACATAGTATTGGAAATTCTAACCAGAGAAATTGGGAAAGAAAAAAAAAGGCATCGAAATTGAAAAGGAAGAAGTAAAAATATCTCTGTTTGTAGATGGTACAATCTTATGCAGCAGCAAACTGTAAAGACTCCACACACCAAAAATGTCAGAATTAATAAATTATTCATCAGAGTAAGTGGATGCAAAAATCATTTAAATCCCGATTCACAACCACTGAGCAATCTGAAATGGAAATTAGGAAAACAATTCCATTTACATTAGCATAAAAAATAATAAAATACTCAGGAATTAACCAAGGAGGTGAAAGATCTGTACATTTTTGAGGCCAACACACTCACCAGATTTGATAAAATTAGAAAACATCGACAATACCAAACATTAGTGAAGATGTAGAGCAAACAGAATTTTCAAACATTGCTAACGAAAACGTAAATTGGTAGAATTCCTGGCAAACTTTGGCATTATCTACTAAAGTTAAATATGCATAACCTGATATTCAGAAAAAAATTCCTGTATAAAACGTTCACGGAAGCATTGTTAATACTAGCCAAACGGCAAACATTAAAGGGAAATGGGTAAATGGTGAGGGTCCTACCATGGAATCTTATAACTCACAGAATGCAATGAATGGAAATGAACTACAGCTATATATTTAGCAGAATGAATCACACAGACATAACCGAATACAGCACACGATTCCATCAAGTTCAAGAACAGAAAAAACCAACTCAATATTAGAAATTAGGTTACTGTCTACTGTTAAGAAAATGTTTTGGGGGGTACACAAGCAGCCCTCTGTTTTATTTCTTAACAGGGATATGATAAAATGGGCATACTTTGTGATAAATCCGTTCGACCATACTACTATAGTTGGAATATTTGTGTTGCCTCAAAATTCATATGTTGAAAATCTAATCTCTGGCATCACGGCCCTCGGACATGGGCCTTCGGGAGGTAGGCGATTATTAGATGACGAGGGTAGAGACCTCATGGATGAAATTAGTGCCCTGATAAAAGAGGCCTGACAGTTCTTCTCTTGTCCCTTCCACCATGTGGGGGACACAGTGAGAAAGTGCCAACAATGCACCACAAAGCAGGGGCTCGCCAGACACCAACTCTGCCGGCACCCTGATCTTGGACTTTCAGACTGTGGGAAATAAATTTCTGTTGTTTATAAGCTACTGCGTTTGTGGTATTTCTGTTACTGCAAACAGATTATGATGAATACAGTTGTGATCTGAGTACTTTTCTGTGTGTATGCATGTTACACTTCAATGAAAAAGTTTTCAATGAAAAAGAAAGGATACGTTAAGCTATGTGGTTATCTTTCATATTCTGGGGGACTCCAAAGAAAAAGTGTTGATTTAGAATTGAGAATTACATAGCGATATCAACAGGGAGATGGTGGCTATAAAAACCGAGGTGAGTAAGTTAACTGTGTGTTCACTAATTAGGAGAGAGAAAGAAAGCCATTACCATTGGAGAAAACATAATCTCAAAGGAAGTTTCAAAATATGCCTTTCATTTTCGCTAGAAGGAAAGGCGTTTAGGTTTTATTGCTCTCCACCAATACACAGTTCTAGATGGGACATAAAAGGTCATTTAGGGAAAAAAAATTTCAGAGATCAGAAACTGGTAAAACAGTCATAGAATCTTGAAACTGAATTTTACCTAAATCTATCTAGGTACAATTCTACAAGTTCAATTGATTCTTTCTCTGTATTTCACCTTATTCCAGAGAGACGTCAGGGCATTTGGCATTTAAATTCTATCTGAAATATTCTGGGGAAGTTGTCTTCCAGAAATAAAGCTAAAAACCAAACCAAGAATTCCAACAGAAACAAATTTTTTTTTTAAAATTGCCGGGAGATACAAGTGTTCCCTTCTTGGCTGCTACCGACGCTTGACCACCCAGCCACGCTGAGCGGGCAGAAGTGCCCCAGCCCCACCACAAACACCTCCTCTGCAGACCCCACACCTTCTACCCCCCAAGGAAAAGTGGAGTTACCTTCAATCGGTTTTCTTTCTCCCACACAAGAGACTGAACGAGGGTAAAGTGATTCATGGAGAAGATAAATAGGATTACTAACGGGATGAAAATCCCGAGAAAGTTAAGGAAGTAATCGTGGTAATATTCTGGGTATGGAAATCTCTGCATGAAAACGTTGACGCCTCCCAGAAGCGCTTGTGCAGCGGTGCGGTTGTGGTACATCATGATGGCCTTATCCAAGGCGTGCTGCATGACCAGGAACCCTTCGGCGAGGTACCCTAAGTTAAAAAACGAGGGTTGCAAAGGACAGTGGAACGCCAAATAGCTGAGCTGAACACACACGATGGCAATTAAAGCATGTCAAAGATGAACAACAAAGTTCGTGTCGAATGAGGCCCGGCTCGCTGTCTAAATTTCAGAGCTCAGCTTTCCTGGTTTTCCCGCACAAAAGCATAATGAGAACCTTTTTTGAAAGGGCCTTTCCCAGTTTCTCAGAAGTAAAATATTGAGTGTAAGTATAAAGCTACTTTCTGCAATTTTAGTCAACCAAATGAGAACTGAATTATCATGGGATTAGGAAAGACTTCGATTCCGTGCCCTTCATATTGGAAAATGTAAATGAAGCTCATACTGAGTTATGTGAACTGATGTCCGCTAAGGCAATGCTACTCAGTGTGGCCCTTGGATCTGTGACGGTATGTAGATACTTTCTTCCTGGTAGACAAGTTCACTATAGAAATTAAGGGTAAACATTTAAAAACTTTTATAGAAATTTAGCCATGACATCTAAAAACTGCTATTTCTATTAATCTATATGAGTCCTTTATACATTTCGAATGTGAATCATGTATATTTTCTCCCTTCTGAATCTTACCTTTTAATTTTTTAATTGTCTTCCATAGCAACAGCATTTAATTTTAATGAAGTTCAATTGATCAATTTTTTTTTAATAGTGAACACGTCTTGTATCCTAGTAAATTACTGCCTACTCTCAAAGTCATGAAGACATTCTCATAAATTTAGTTGTAGAAGTTTTATGATTCTGGCTTTTACATTTAGGTTAATGATCATCTCGAATTAATTAATTCCGTGTAGGTACGAGTTAGTGATCAAGGTCGTTCTTTCCATATGGATAACCAAGTTATTCAACAGAATTTGTTCAAGAGTTTCTTTTCCCAATGAACTATACTGGCACCTTCATGGAAAATCAAGTGACTGTGTGTTTGAGTCTATTTCTAAACATCTCATTCTTTCCACTGGTCTATTGGCTCATCCCTGTGCCTCTGTGACAATGTCTTCATTACTGTAGCTTTATAGTAAGTCTTGAATGTCTTCTAACATTGCTATTCCTTTTCAAGATTATTTTAATAATCCAGATCCTTTGCATCTCCCTATAAATTGTAGAATGAGTTTGCCAATTTCTTCAAAAAATGTTGCTTGGATTTTGACTGTCAGTCTACTCACTCTATAAATCAATTTAGGAAGAATTTTCAGCCTACCATTTTTCAGGCATTCCATCAACGAGGAGCACTACCTTAAAATAATATTTGGTTTCATCATGACAGGTCAACTTGTAAACACAGGTTCCCCATGCAGCTACCCGTGGAAGCCTAGGCTCTGCCCCAGTATTCTTTTGTAGAGAATATTGATAAGACCTTAAATGAAGGTTATTTATTTATTTCTCCCAAATCCCTTATGATGGGAGACTAAAATGGATGTTTTCGGTGATGCACAGAGGATCACATATGAGATGTGATTTGTACCATCCCTGACAGCATGCTGAGGGACGTCCAGGGCACAGACTGTGTTTGTTTCATTCCCAAGCCCGGTGCTTACGAGTTATCTAGCCCTTAGCACAGTGTGCATGATCTCTCTGACACCCAGAGACTTCACTGCAAAATTGATATAATCAAGCCTATCTCATGGTACTTCAAAATTACAGTAAGCATTCAAAACTTTTAGCCATTATTATTGGAGGAAAAAAAAAAGAAGTTAGGGTAAAAGTAAGTATTATTTAAATAATAATTATCTTTTTAGGATTATTGTGTAAATTAAGGTTATATTAAGGATGAGACTTTAAGGAGACAAGTAGATCATTAACAGTAAGAAATCGGCTTAGGTGCTTTGGTCAATTAGTCTGTTAACATGCATTATTTCTTTTTTGGGTCACGCGCATAAAGTGTTTATATATACACACATCACACGTGCACACAAAGCATTTTTAGCTTCAAGTGCAGAAGGCTGAGTTACTCACACCCCTCAGTTCATGACCCACGCATTGGTCCATGTCCCTTAACCCATTTTATTTATTTATCCCTTTTTTCCTTGCCCCTCTCCTTCCCACTGACCACATTCCTAACGTGTTTTGACGAGTATCCTCATGTTTGTATGTGTCCTTTTCATATTTATATTAGCATTCCGTTTGCATATATCTTATGTAAATGAAATCGAGTTACAAATTTTCATTCCTGAGTTCTACATTTTTTCAGATGCTGCTATGCATACGCCTAGTCCAGTCTTTCTAATCAGCTGCCCTGACTGCCTCCTACTCCTTGCCACCACAAACAACACCGTCAGGAACATTCTTATGCATCTATAAAAGAATTTAGTAGTGTTTATACTCAGGAACATACTCTTAATTTGCTCACTGCTGTGGGCTGAATGTTTGTGTCTCCCCAGCATTCTTACAGGCGATGGCATTAAAAGGGGGGCATTTGCGAGATGCTTAAGCCACGAGAGAGAGCGGAGGCCTCATAGATGGGATTAGAGCCTTATAACAGCAGCTCCGGCCTCCTCCACCAGGCGGAGGCACAGCTAAAACATATAGGCTCTAGATCAAGGAGGGGGCCATCGCCAGACTAGCACCTCGATCTTGGACTGCCCAGCCTTTGGAACTATGAGAAATAAATTTATTATTTGCAAACTAGCCAGTCTGTGGTATTTTGTTACGGCAGCCGGATCAGACGAGGACAGCCACCACTGACAGATGGCTCCCCAGAGGGGCCGTATCAGCCCACGTGCCCTCCCTCCGGCAGTGCATCTGGCTGTCTTCATCCTCACATCCCTGGCAACTCTCAGCAGCACCCAGCTTTCTAAGTTTTCCACCAGTCTAACCCTTATAAAGTGAAACTCCAGGCTTAGTTCATAACACAAATTGGAAAACACACGATTCCCTTTTAAATATTATGACAAAAATAATGTTCGAAATATTTTTTAAAGGAAACAACGATAATATGCAACACAATCCTCTACCCTAACAGAGTAGACATTTTCATATTTGGATATCCACCCCAGTTTCGTGTGGATGAACATGCAGCTTATATAGCTCTAATCGCGAAATGCAATTCTGATTTTAAAGATTGCATAATTATCTGTCAAGTTATATTTTATACTTGTACTATCCAATAATCATATTTAAGATTTAGGTTATTTCAAACATTTAAGAATTATGCTAAATTGGTTATAGCTTGTTTCTCTTGTTGAATAATTTCCTCAGGGTAAATCTGCATTATTGTTGGTAAAAGCAAAGCTCCACATTAAAGACTTTTGAACGGTAGTTTGTGCAGTAAATTTTAAATTACCATAGCTGTATTAAAAACTGTTTCTCAGCCCAACGGAATACCATACAGTTTTAATTATTTAGTCTGTGTCAGTACCTGGCAATGTACACAGGAAGTCAGTAAAATCAAAATGTCCTAAGTAAATCTACATGCAGATATAAGGATATAGTGTGATAACGATCAGGAAAGGATAAAATATGTTGTTCCGATGTATAGGATTTTTCACATGGGTTTTTGGACACTGAAAATTTTTTAAATGAAAAAAAAAATCACCAGTAGATTAAGTTAAAAATAATTTTCATCCCAAGGCTGAAGAAATATGAGGGCACTTACTATAAAAGGAGGATTATCAAAATAAGTACAGTGAAAGGTGCTCACCAGGACTCCCCCCATTTGAATCTTGCTCGTTTCTGGGTCCCACGGAAGGAGAAGTTGGAAAGAGAGAACCTGTATGCCAGTTTCTGGGGTGATCAAAATCTAAGTCCTTGTTCCTCGGAAAACTACTAAAACGCAGATAATATTTTACCTACAAGAAACAAAATAAGAAACAGTAAGAAACAGTATCTATAAACAAACAAACAAACAAAAATTAAGCAAGAAAGAGAGACTGAAGGAAGTTGGAGTACAGTTGCAAATAAGTGATTTTGAGGCCGACTGATAAGCACCGAAGTGGATTCTGAAATCAGGAACTGGGAGCAAACCTGTTGTAAGGCTACACTACGGGTCGTGGATGTATTTCTCCCTACGTAGACGGCTGGCAAGCATTCGGAAATGAAATAGACCGAAAGGTGTTGTTAATTTCTCTTCCCTTTATGTCAGATAAGTGTTCTGGGAGGGAAAATCTCCTGTCCTAAAAGTGACAATAACATAAGAAAGAATCCTACCTGAGGACAGAAGAGGAATGTATTAAAATATAAATGTGGAGTGTCACACACTTTCATCATGCGATGAAAGATACCACTAATTCAGGAGAACTAGGGAAACTTCAGTGCAGATCACGATGGGCCCAAACAGTGTCACGACAGCAATAGTCCAAAGGTGGCCAAAAGCGAGACGGGTCAGTAAGATCCGGAGGGACAGGCCGATGCCATAAATCAAGGTAAATATTCATCCATTCAGTTACCAAGACAAAAGTTTTAGGTACATATTACACGTTCAGGGATTAAGACACAGCTCCTGTTACTCAAGGAGCTCAAGTTCTAGTTTAGAAAAAAAAACCCATATGTTTACAGTACAATAAATTCAGTGATAGAGATACGTATAGAAAACGTATGGGTGTATGGAAGAGGGAAGGAGCAGGCATGGTGAGAAGAGATGCTGCGGGGCAAGCAGTGAAGTAAGTAACAAGGCGAGTCGAGGGGCGGGGTGAGGGAGATTCTACTGCGCGGGAGTCGGAAACCACATCGAAAACACTGTGACCAGGCTCTCTGGACACTGCGAAGCCCACATCAGCATCACTTTATGCCGAGTCAGCCCACCTGAGGGGAGCTGACGTCTATGAAGGGAGTGGGGGAGCGATGGGACCCCATGAAAACTTCCCACGACCCCACTCACAACCCTGTGGGTTTCTTTCCTTTCCCATTCTGCTGCCAACCACCTGTAACTTAAACGCGGAATTCTGGCTCCGTGTGTATCTCTACACCTCACACCTCGACACCAGAGACGCCAGGTTCAAAGCAGTGTCTTTGTCTCTCCTTCTTGGGGGCTGTTATCAGAATCTCCCTCGGTTATTTGCAGATGTTCTAATTCTGATGAAGCCTGGCTAAGCCTTAGCACTATTTTCTACATTTAGATTTAGAAAAGAAATGATGAGTTTCATTCAAAAGAAAGAGGCAAGTTTCCTGCTCGAGCTCCTTGCTAGTGGAGGTGTGTCTGCTTTATTACATCAGGTCTTTTGACCCAGAGACATGTATTTACTTCACTATCACGTGTGGAGCTGGAGATGGTGGCCATATCAGATACAGTGGTAAAGGCGACATCCTTGGTCGTCAACATTCCCTACTATCCTGATTTACAAACGGAAGGTCTGGTAGGTGGTGAATTCAGTTCTTTCTCCATTGGCATAAAGCACTGGTTAAATAAATGCACAGACACTAAAATGAATTAGATTTGGATTTAAGTCCCTGCTCTGCTACGTACAAGCAGCATGGCCCTGGATAAGTTACGGTCTCCCCATCTACCAAATGGAATCTCTGGAAAGTAGAATTACAATTACGAGACCTCTACATAAAAACGTTCTTACCTTAAGCGGCAGGGGATCGTGGCTATTTTTGAACTCATGGTCAAAGACAAAGGCAACCATCACTCTTTCAGAGTTATTCTCTTGCTTAACGTAATCTTCAAAGTCACTTTCAGATGAAAAGCCTTGAACTGCAGAGAGAGAAACGCCTAGTGTATGAGCTGACCACACAAAGGCAAAGTGTCTGACAGCTTCCGGATCACCGCTCAGAAGGGCTGGAGCCAGGCTTCAGGGCCACTTCAAGATCCGCAGTCAGGCTGAGGTTTGCAAGCCTGTGTCCAGGCACACAGGCAGGCACGTCTCCCGGTGGGCTCCTGGGTGGGCAGGATTACTGCCTGTCCACAGCTGAGAGGGGCCAGAGCCACGTCACCAGTCTCTAAAGGGTCCACAGCCAGAACCAAGGTCAGCGGGCCTAGGTGGGTGTGACTCCTCCTGGGTCCTTGGCCAATGGTGCTGATGGCAGGGCCAAGGCCAAACAGGGCTATAACTGAGTCCACAGGGGGATGCGGCCATTTCCAGGTGTGTGGCTGGGATCACGGTAAGTGAGCCTGCCATTGTAAGGGCAGTGGTGGCCGAGGCCTGGGGAGCACATGAGGCCAAGAAAATCTGATAAACACCTAACTGGGGTCTAGTCTATGACCACCCAGAATATACATCACTACATAGCACACAAGGAATTTGTATACAAGTCAATCGTGTTTTAAGACATGCAAAAGAACATTAATAAATTCTGAGGAATCGAAATCTTAAAGACTTTATTCTCTGAATATAAAAACCTTGGAAGTAACCAGCAGAAAATTTTAAAATTCTCATACGAGGACTTCCGGTTCCAGCTATGATAGGTAAGATGAAAAACTTTCCCACTACGTAAAAGTTGGACAAAATCTATAAAAAAACTGTTTGAAAGCAACAAAGATGAACAGGACGTATGGAGATACAAGCCTCGAAAAAAAAGGAAATGCACAAGATAAATGTCATATTCACCCTGGTATTGCCGCTGAAAGCGTTGCAAAAGGTTGCTGACTTAAAAGGGGGTAAGAGTTCAGGCTGCTGAAATGTCTGAGACTTGAGAGGCAAAACTCTAAGGAGAAGAGAATAGCAAAGAAGCGAGGTGCAAAATCAGCATGTCAATTCCCCTGAAGTCAGTGGCCGCATCCTAAGCTGAGCTTGCACAGGACGAGCCTCCAAGAAACCAGCCGAGGCCAGGATAAAATGCTGAGCAGTGATATCAGCACTTAGACAATGCTGGGGAGACAGAGCATGGAGCTCAAGCCCCACAAAGGCAGAGGGGCCTTCAAAAATACTCCGGACTTCCAGTTGACGCCCTGGAAGGGGCATGCCCTGGGAGTAATGACCATGCCCTAGGACACAGAGTATCTCAGGAGTAAAGAGGAAGCTGAAATAGAACAGTCCTTCCTGCAGCCTAAAACCAGCTTTCGATGGGGTCGAACTGATCAAGTACTCTAAAAACCGTCAGGAAGGAAAATTTAACCTTCTTCGGATAAAGAAGTGCCCTCAGGAGCCCCTAATTCTTTCCGTCCACAATGTCTGCCAGTGAATTAAAATATACAAGATAGGCTACAAAACAGAACTCAATGACTTAAGAGAAAAAAATATACACAAGTAATCTAGATATCAGAACTTTCTGGTAGGGACTCTATAGTAACCATGATTAATCTGATTAATAAATTTAAAAAATCGACATTTCTTTATAGACCTGGAATCTATTTAAAACAGAGAACTGAGAAATATTTTCTAAAACAGTTCAACGGAAAGACCACATGACCTATTAATTTCATAATACATAAGCAAAAAGAAAATTTTAATATTATTTTAATGGCTATAACCTTTTGAATACTAATGACACTTAGCTGGAAATTTAATTCCTCTCTCAACAACTAACAGGATAAACAGATGAAAAATATAAGCGCACAGAAGATTTGAAAAGCACAATGATTAACCAACTTGACAACTTGACCTAGATGACATTTCTAGGATACTACAGGCAAAACCTACAGAATATAGTCTTTATAAAGGTACATGGAACATTTATCAAAATATACCATAAACTAGCCATAAATAATGCTCAAAATTTCGACCAACCGTAATTAGAGTATACACCCTGATTCAAGGAAATTAAAATAGAAATCAACAACAGAAAGATAACAACAAATCCCCAGGTGTTTGGAAGTTAAGTAATCCAGTTCTAAAAATCCCACGCATCAAAGAAATCAGAGCGGAAATTATAAAAAAATTTGGACAACCCAAAGCAGCCTGTGAGAGACTAAATTTATTAAAATATTTGTGCTGCATACTTTTAAACTCATTGAGATTTTACATTCTTCTGCTTCAGTTTTTTTTTTTAAATAAATGTTTTGAGATGTCATCTACTTTCAAGGACTCTCAAATGCTTTGAGACGAAAAAGACTGAAAAAATACACTACTGAATAAATACACGTGTGTAAAGAGAAGGAGCTAGAGGGATTTTCATCAAAATTCTGATGTTTATCTCTGGGAGAAAAAAGAGAGAAACTGAGTTGAGAGTGAAGAACGGCGAATTTTTAGAATAATTCTCTACAGCCTGAGTCTTCTATAAAGCATTCATCCACGCACTGGGCAACGTTTTTACATAAACAGTGTTTGAAATAACTGAGCACTGAGTCTGCGTCCAGAATGAGGGCTTGTGTTGATGCTGCGCCTTCCCGTACTTCGGAGTTATACTCACCCACGTTTAAGCAGCACGACCAGAACCAAGGAAGACAGTACCACAGAACTGGACAATCACCCAAAATCATAGAGATGGGTCACCTAATATTAAAATACTATTTGCTTTGGGCTCCAGGAGAAATTATTTTATGCAAATTTAACTCTCAAGTTTAACGAAGTCCATAATATTAGATTTAGGAGTTCACTACCTGGTTATGAGGATATCCTGCCATGTTTTACTTAGAAGGTTATACCCAGTTAAAAGGTTGTAAGTGTCTTCGCTAAAATAATAATACATTTTTTCAGAAAACCTTCATGTCTAACCTTTAAAATTGTAGTGTAAATCCATCTTCACAGCTTCAACGATGTCCCTCACCACGACACTTTTGGAAGGCACGAAAGCCAGTTCCCACAGGCCAGGAAAAGGGACACTTCTCAGGAATGAGGGCAACTCATCGACAGGCTGGCTAGTGTAACTATAAGGTCCACTCTTCCTTATAACGGTAAACTTGCGTGTTAACAGAAGCGAGCCAGCAAATAGTAAAGTTAGGATGATTTCCACAACTATAGCAAAGAACTGCCGTCTCTAGATGAAAAAAAAAAAAAGATTGTTAACTATCCCAAGAGCACATTAACTTTGCAAATGCCTAATTATTTTATATGAACAGACGTTTCATAAAAGAAGGTATAGCTGGTCAAAAAGAACAGGTTCAATGTATGCTAGCAGGAGTTTCCTGGACTGTTTTTTTTCTCCTTTGTAGGAGTCATTCTGCTATGATTTCACTCTATGAAGAGATACCCTTAGCTCTAGAACTGAGAAAAACACAATAGTATAAATTGAAACACAGCAATCATGCTGCCAGAATAGTATAAACTGAAACACAGCAATCATGCTGCCAGAATTTTCCCACTGTGGTCTCTTAGATGTTGCAAAAATCCTATAAATAGCTGAACTCACCTTTAAAATGAAATTCTTCCACAGAAGAACCATAAATTTGTTCAACTCCAACAAATCCATTCTTCAACTCTATGGAGGAAGTAAAGATTTTTAAGAAAGAAATTAAAGCCATCTAACAAAATGCAAATTTTAGACAAGTAAATTACTTACATTTGAGTTACTTAATTTTCTATCAAGCTTAAAGGATAACAAGAAACAATAAGCACTTGAAATATTTGAGAATTTTTAAATTTATTCAGAATCTACTGAGCTTCTAAGATGTACAAAACTTCGAGCACAAAACAAAGATCATTAAGTTATTGGTGCAAGTTTCCAGGTAAACCTGGCCAGCAGCTTTCCCAATTCTTATCAGAATACTAATTCAGAAACAATACCAAATAAATCAATAATCATCAGCAGCAAAAATACAAGGTAGTACATAAAATCACGCTATACTTATAAGCCCGAAATGCCACTCAATAATTTGCGAGATTGGAAATATCTACCTATATTAACAACATTGCTAATGGGAGCAGATTTATTCTTATATTTAATGACTATTTTCTGGATATCTACTATGCGCCATGTTAGGCGTGGGTACACAATGGGAAACAAAACAGATAAAGCCCTTCCCTCATGGTGTGGGTGGCATGGTGAAGTTATTAATAACCTGGGATCCAAAGTCAGCCGGTCTAGGTCGTTAACTGTATCATCTTGAACACGTGACTTAACATCCTGGGGCTGCCAGGAAGAGAGCTGAAACTCAGGGCCAGGAAGGGGAGGTATTCCTTTAGGACTTCACCTTATAAATATAAGGATAAGCATGAAGGAGACTGGCTTTCACAGGGACTGTAGCCCCAATTCAAATAATTTCCATCCTTGGTGCTAGATAAAGTTGATTTCAGATTGCAAATGCCTACAGGTCCCTGGCATAAAAAATAAATCCTCTCTGAAGAAAACCATCATCATCCTGGAGTCAACTATGCCTACAAGCAATTTTTATGAATATAACGTCTGACGCAAAATGATCAGGAACGAAGTTTAAAATAACTATGTTTACTATTTTCAAGGC